TTAAAATTCACACTTGTAAATTTCACTGCTGTTGTTCTTAGTGTTATTTCTCTAACTTAAATTTTCTATAATAGTTCAATTTTGTTTTCAGTGTCCTTTAGTACAACGAAGATTCCTGATGAGTGTTGTACGAAAACTTGTTTGAATCCCTTTTTTCTCTTCACAATTTCTTCACATTTTCATCGTTTGATTGCACATTGTCTCCACAGTTTTACTATACATGAATACAGTGAACAGAAATGTCGATCCAGCTTGTATTACTGATTGCGGTTATCAAAATTATTATTATTTATTAAATTTTTAATATATGATCACAATTATCGTGTCAGTCCGTTTCCCGAAGGGAACTCACCACGACCGCTAACACCCGGTAAACCCTAGCGGCAGATGCAGCGCCTAACGGTGGGGTGAGTGGATACGTTTCTCAGCCACCGGCACAAGTGCGGTGAAACCCCATTAGCCGCATCCACGTACCCCTTGTGCCTGGCCACAAGTCCCCATTTGACTGTGGGTAGCAGCATGGCAGGAAAATCCACTCCCAGGCAGCGAGCTTGAAGTAAACTGTAAAGAGAATAAGACCTATAAGTTACGAGTTACAGGGGCGTGCTCGGCCCCCCAACTAGGGGGGTGCACGGGAGCCCCCCGGCAATTTTCTGCAATTATTTTGCAACCTTTCTTGAATTTTAGAGCATATTTGCATCATTACAATTGCAATAACCGAGATTGAAAATTTTTGGGGGTGCACGTGCCGCCCGTGCCCATCGCCGAGCACGCGCCTGAGTTATGATTAACAGCCCCCTAATGTAGCGAGATAGTAATACAGTCAGATAGTGCGACAACAAGGCACAAAACTGACAAGGATATTGGCACATTTGATGACCTAGGCCAAGCTCCAACACATCTTATAGGTCCTTTTCTCTTTACATTATTACTATTGGCTCAACGTCCGAGTTTTGAACAACACTCTTCTCCCATCCTTGTGCATCTCTGCCTCAGAAATGGATCGCTACTGCCCTGCCCTCAGTATAGTGAACGGTGCTCTCTCAAGTTCCAGTGTGGCAGCTGTGGACACCGTCCTTGGCCTCACCTGCGTGCTGGGTTTTCAACCCATAGCAGGCACCAAGTTTGCATGCCAGCCCTACTTCCTGAATCTTGGAAAATGGAACGCCACACCTATCTGTCAAGGTTGGTAGTGATTTTGGTTATTCCGTCATTTCAGGAATACTCTCTGGTAGCTGCCCGTGCTTAAAAAAAGTCCTTCAGTCTCTTGCATTTCACTATGTTTTCTTCTCTTCTTTCTCCCTTTCGTTCATCTGTTGTGCACCTCGGTCTCTCATTCCCTCCTTCTCCTTGTGGCAGTAGTGCATGCCAAGTCTGCTGCATACGGTTGAGAACTTGAATAACCGCCATGGCTTTGACTACACCTATAACACAGGTGAATGAAATCCGATCGAATGTGTCATTTTAACACTTGGTGCTGAACATAGCCCTGCAGCCGGCCTGGCCTAGTACCAATCCTCAGGAGTAGGCTTCAGGCTTGCTCTGTAGGTGGTATAATAATATAGCCTCTTCTCCTGATGCACTCTTGATGGCCAAATCTTCTTTTGCATCTTTCTTCCATCATCCTGACATCCGTGTCGTCTGTTCTCAATCCTGCGCACACACATGCACACGCACACACACACGAACACACACACACACACACACACGCACACATGCACACACATGCACACACGAGCGCACGCACCCACACACACACGCACACACGCACCCCCCCCCCACACACACACACATGCACACACACGTGCACACACACGCACACACACACACACAATTTCTCTCACACTAACACACATGTGCAGAGGTGCTGAGCTACTGTGCAAAGATCACCATCGATCATGGCTCGGTGACGTACGATCGTGAAAGAAGACTGAACAGTGGCGCGGCGTTGATGTGTGAAGAAGGCTTCATTCCAGTGTCACGGAGCTCATCCAAGTGTGGGCCTGGCGACAGCAAAGCGGGTGCCTGGAGCAATGTCTTGGCATGCAAGTGTAAGTCAGATTACCGTTCCCCTATTGTTAGTCACATTCAAGTTTAAGACGTACCCCATTGTTAAGTCTCTGTCATGTGGTTTTAGTGTGTTCCCCTGATTAATGAATCACAACTCCGTGTAAATAGCACCCCTTGTTCGGCTTTGGTGTGTGTTGTGAAAAGGTGCAAGTCATATCTGGGGAACTGCAGTGCCTCTTTAATACGTATAGGGAAGTGCAGTGCCTCTCAGGTTTAGGGAAGTGCAGTGCCTCTCAGGTTTAGGGAAGTGCAATGCCTCTCAGGTTTAGGGAAGTGCAGTGCCTCTCAGGTTTAGGGAAGTGCAGTGCCTCTCAGGTTTAGGGAAGTGCAATGCCTCTTAGGTTTAGGGAAGTGCAGTGCCTCTCAGGTTTAGGGAAGTGCAGTGTCTCTCAGGTTTAGGGAAGTGCAGTGCCTCTCAGGTTTAGGGAAGTGCAGTGCCTCTCAGGTTTAGGGAAGTGCAGTGCCTCTCAGGTTTAGGGAAGTCTATGCATAGTGTAACTCAGGCTTTTAGCCAAATGAGGGTGGGGGGGGGGGGGCAGCACCCCCTACTCTGATTGAGAGCCCTCTTTCAAACGTGCCCCCCCCCCCCCACCTATTCATTTGTTGTGTTTTCTTGAGACAATTCAACGCAAATGCAGTCGATGGTGACTAACAGAGGGGTTATAAAGGCACACCAGTCTGGAGTGAAGTCGGGGGTTCACCTCCGTACTCTGCATTTTGCATGGCAAGACAGATTTGGAAATTGAAAAAATGGATTACGGGTAACTGTTTCCCCTGCCCCCCCCCCCCCCCCCCCTACTATTTTGACCTGGCTAGAACCCTGGTGTAACTTGTGTTAAGCAATCACTGCATGCTGTAAAAGATACTGGTCTTTAGTCACAGATGTTTTTTGTACACAGGTCTTAATGCCTGTTTACCATGGTATGGTGTGCGAGTTGACCGGTCTCTATACACAGGTAGTCTATGTAGACAGGTGGTCATTAAAACAGGTGGTCTTTGTACACAAGTTTGAATGCATGTTGTATAGGATTCTGGTCTTTATTGACAGGTGGTCTTTTTACACAGGTTTGAGTACATGTTGTACCACTGGGTGGTGTGTGAGGTGACCGGTCTCTATACACAGGTGGTCTATGTAGACAGGTGGTCATTAAAACAGGTGGTCTTTGTACACAAGTCTGAATGCATGTTGTATAGGATACTGGTCTCTATTGACAGGTGGTCTTTTTACACAGGTTTGAGTACATGTTGTACCACGGGGTGGTGTGTGAGGTGACCGGTCTCTATACACAGGTAGTCTATGTAGACAGGTGGTCATTAAAACAGGTGGTCTTTGTACACAAGTTTGAATGCATGTTGTATAGGATACTGGTCTTTATTGGCAGGTGGTCTTTGTACACAGGTTTGAGTACATGTTGTACCATGGGTTGGTGTGTGAGATGACTGGTCTCTATACACAGGTGATTCTTTTAGAAAAGGACTTCTTTTCTAATTCAATTCCGTCACCCGTGTTCCTTTCTCGCTCTACAGTGGACACGGAGTATTGCGCTCACCACGGGGCAGTTTCAAACGGCAACATCTCTCGCCATGCCAACCGCACCCTGGGCACGGTTGCCAAGGTCACCTGCCATGACGGTTACATCAAGACTGCCAGTGCCCTGTTGTGGTGTAGATCTGCTGCATCACCACCACCACCAGGGTCTGGACCAGCTGGCAAGTGGAATGACACAGCTAAGTGTGAACGTAAGCAGTATTATCTCGTTAGTAGTCTGCCTGTGGATTTCAGTACTAACTTTGTCTGTTGCTGCTGCGTTAGGGGCCATCCGTAAATACGGATATTTATTTAGAATCGAAAACTAGTCATTACTTTTCAACCCCCTTCCTCCCTGAAATCTGAATACATACAAACGGTACATAGTGACGATATTTTATTTCATTCTTCTGGACTTGCCCACACGTACAAACTGTGCATCGATATTTTTCGAGAAACGAACAGGCGCTCAACCCCTTCCCCTAAACGACTGTTTTCGTTTCTAAATAAATATCTATATTTACGGATGGCCCCTTAAAAAGTGGTGATATTCGCATGAGCACAACATGAATAGGACAGTTCTTGATGGTAGTCTGTCGCCTAGCTATGTGAACTAAAGGTATGTGTGTGTGTGTGTGTGTGTGTGTGTGTGTGTGTGTGTGTGTGTGTGTGTGTGTGTGTGTGTGTGTGTGTGTGTGTGTGTGTGTGTGTGTGTGTGTGTGTGTGTGTGTGCATTTATATATGTGTGTGTGTGCACATGCGTGCGTGTGTGTGTACGTGCGTGCATGCATCCCTGCATATGTGTGTGCATGTCCATACACCTGGCTGTTTGTACTTGCGGACGGGTGTATTTTAATGCTTGAAATCCAGGCAAAGTTGGCTTCTGCCCTCAGCCGACTGCCGTGAGAGGAGTTCTGCATGGAACAACAAGTGGAAAAATAGGTGACACTCTTGTCTTGTCTTGCTTTCCAAGACACATTCCAGTGCAAGGCACGGTTCTGTCCTGTGTTGCCGTGAATGCTGCGACTGGCAAATGGAACGCATCAGCTGTATGCAATGGTGAGTTTTCCCATGTACAGTCAACTTCGCGTATAATGACACTCGGCGGAGCATCAGAAAAGTGTCCTTATTCGCGAAGTGTCGTTATACCCGAAGTCCCATTGTATGTATTACAGTTGGATGTGACTCTGCTCTGGGCATGGAAATTCCGTCGTTATTCGTGAATTGTTGTTATATCCGCAGTCGTTATTAGCGAAGTTGACTGTACTGTATTTGCCTGCTCTGTGGTATGCATTGGAAGATGCATGCCATATTGTTCCTGTTAAAGAGTCGAACTTTCATGACCCGGATGCAGCGAATGGGATTTTCGGTCTTTGACCACTTTGTGGTGGATCTGATCTACTCACCTCCCACAGCTTTAGGAGCTGCACTGCACCTTGATCCTTGAGGAGAGAATAATAGATGGCGATATTTCATATCCCAAAATTAACGGTTCAGTAGCGCGAAAATTTTGGTAAACCAGTTTTCCGGATCCAAAAAATGCATCTTTCACCGTGTTTGGCATGGCTTTGTTGAATTTTAGGTCGCGTTTTATTGTAGGTAAAAATTACCTGTACCGAAGTTACCGAAAATAAATTTCCACCGAAATTTTCCGGTTTTACAGTAAGTTAACATAGAACCGGGTTCCCACCACCCTTGAACCGAGAAAAGGAAAGGCTGACAAGGGAGCCCACTCACCCACATCGGTAAAAACAATGCGTACAGTCTTGTGGGTCAGGTTGGGGAGCCCGCTCAGCCAACATTCAGCGGCCACTTAGTTTTAATACCTTAGTACACCGTTTCTGATAATCTGGCCACATGCCGTTATAACTCAGATGGTGAGCCAAGGAAACAAAGTGTTACGTGGAAATTGTGGGCACAAGTTATGCGCTATCGAGCAGTGCTCAAGCTGACTTTCATGCCGTGGAATGTCTCAGTAATCCTTGCCAGTTTTGTGCTAGACTGCGCACGTCCGACTGTTCAAAATCTGGTTTAGTTGGTGGACTCGATTGCATAACTTGTGCCCACAATTTCCATGTTACAAACATGTCATTATCCGTTTCCTTTTTCGTTTGCTTATTAGACGAGTTCAAGTGTTCAGGCACGGCAATCAAGCTAGCGGTACCTGTGTTCGACCACGCCATGAACTACAAATCAGCCAAGGATAACTGTGGCCAGCTGGGCGGCCGAATTGTCACACCGTCGTCGCTGACCTGCCTGCAGTCGTTCATCCCCCCTCTCGCTAGGGGCGGTAGTGAGTACTGGGTCGGAGAGGAGTCCACGCATGGCCTGCTGGGACCAGTGGCACACGACACCCAACTGCAGATGGTCAAGAGCACAGCCTCGCTGAAAGTAGTCTGCGAAATTGTTTGTAAGTCATCGCAAAGTATGTCCCTCTCCCCCCTCGTGTGCTAAACTCCCACAACAATAAATAACTCAGATCATGTATCTCCCATATGGGGTCTCTGACAAAAAAATCACATGAAACTCACATTTGGGGTCTCTGACAACAACAACAAAAGTTGCACGCTTTCGGGAGAAATCACACCTTGATACTTTAGTGCTGACATTGTGTCCTCCTTATCTTACCTTGCTTGCTATAATTTCATTAGTTCTGATTAATGTTAGCACAAAGGTGATTCCTGCTGATTGTTGTGCGAAAACTAGTTAGCATCATTTTCCATCATTCTTCCTTCCTACATGTACTTCTCTTTATTTTTTTGGTAAATTGTTGCCCTATTTTTACTTTCTCCAGATGAGTACACATGCCCATCGACCAAATCGAAACTCGTCGTGCCGCACAGCATCGCCTCCATAGATACTTTCACCGTGGCCAGCCGTGTCTGCGACGACCTCGGTGCTCATTTAGCTGATCTGCACGACGTGTCCTGCGTGAACCAGTTTCTGGAGCTGAGCGGGGATCGCCATAGCGCCTGGCTGAGGGACCGACGCGGTGTTGACCAGGCGCTGACAACCAACGCGTTCAGCAAGACGGTCTCCGCCAACGACACTGGCTCACATCACCGGATTGTGTGCGAATTGGCCGGTGAGTACACCTATGGTGTGAACTTGTCCGTGCCTCTTTTGGAACTTGTGCTCTGTGTGCGCTGGGTCCGCGCGGGGCGGTGTGCGGACCGCGGCGCGGACTATGCAGGTTGCGACCCAGCGCGCATGCGTGCATTGTACGCATTCTTGTTTTTCCGTTCCTTGCTTCTTCCTGAGACTCTCCATTGGTACCAGAAGAAACATTTGGACCTACATGAACAGCTAAACTGGCCAGATACGGACGTGCCAAATCCGGGCACTTCATCTGCCGGGCGCCTTTCTAACCCCTCTAGAGTCATAAAAAGGCTTTTCAACAAAAAAGGCCCCAAACCAGTCATAGTGATTGGCATAAAATCCTTGCTTGCATGCAGTAAGTATGTACGTTCTGAATTACATACATTCCCTAGTTGCGGGCAGTGCTTGGTCCCAACCTGCACGTATCTGGCCAGTTTTACTGGACAGATCAAAGTGTGTTCTAGATGTATCAGGACAGCATATTTCCGTGAGCACTCGCTGCTCCGTGATCACCGGCCGCCCTCAATTACTCGCTGTGCATCCTGCATTGAAGTTTGAGGCGCGCGTACATTTGTCAATGTCACATTCGCGCATGCGACCGCGTAGCAGAAGCATTCTGCATCGAATGTTTCTTTAAATGAATTATAAATGTAGCCTTTGAATTCTTTCATCATTCTCTGTCGATTTGCCCTGTCGAGAAGAGAACAAACACTTTCCGCAAAATCTAAACTGTTCAAATTGTGTTGTCCTGCTGCTCGGTTCCGCTGCGTTGGCGGATGCTTGAATGTGACATTGACAAACTCATATTCAGAGACTGTTCTTTACCACCTTCGTACCCACTCGTTTTGGATACAATAACACCTTTGTGAAATGTCGGTTCAGCTCGTTCTGTTGATCGCAATTCTAAGTACATATTGCGAGTTCTGTTTGTCATGTCCATGTGCAGATGCTGCCGACTACTGTCCCTGGATCAATCCAGCACACAGCTCAGTTAAGCTGTCCAAGGGAAGATCCCTTCATTCCACCGCACAGGTTACATGTGACGAAGGGTATTTCCCCGAGAACGGGCTCACCCTCGTGCAGTGCTTGCATGAGACCAGCTCGTACGGAATGTGGAGCGGAGTTCCAGTTTGTATCGGTAAGATGATTTGCAAAATGTTAGGCATGAGTATGCTATCACATGTGTGTGTGTGTGTGTGTGTGTGTGTGTGCACATTTGTGCGTGTTTGTGTGTGTGTCCACGTGCATGTGCACACGAGTGTGTACATGCGTTTGTGCAAGTGCACATGGGTGTGCAGGTATATATTTCACTAAACCGACGAAACCCCGAGCATGTCGAGAGTCAGAATAAAAACAAGTAAAATATAAAACTCGGATATTGAACAATCGACGAGGAGACAATAGTCGTAAAATGGCAATAAATAAGATAAATTGTGCACTCATAACAACAGCAAAAATGAAGAAAGTCAAGTTCCATAACATTCATCTGCCACTACCTTTCTCACATACACTATATTCACACATTGCAAAGGTGCAAACTTCGCTTTTTGTACTTGTTAGCTGCTGTATTTCTACCTGAAACCATATTAGCTACATGTATATAAGTGTGTGTTTTAGTTATTACATTTTTATGTGACGGCGTTCCACTGATGACAGTCACAAGAAAACGTTATGGAACTTGACTTTCTTCATTTTTGCTGTTGTTATGAGTGCACAATTTATCTTATTTATTGCCACTCGGATATTGAGCCAATAATAAAAGTGGACTCTTAACTTACTCTTAACTCGTTTCCATATGTCCTTTTCCTTTCTACTAGTAAAATATAAGTAAATAATTATACTTAAGGTATTAGAAGCTGTTTTCATCTGTAAACACAATCCTAATCTATGCATTGAGAAAGAAAATGTCACAAAACTGAGACTCTTCACCTAGCATTCACACACGTATTCATTCGCATACACCTACACCTCACAGTTCCTCACTCTATCACATTCACCTGCTTCCACGCCTTCATTTCACTCACCTTTTGTAGTAGCTCACACCGTCAGAACACTCTCACATCTTTTCTTCTAATTTCTTTCGTCTTCTCTCCCACTTTAGTTTTTTTTTCACACCTCACCTTGTATACTACCCACTATCCGATAACCTATAAGTAGTTTGTTTCTCCGTATAGCCTCTATTGTGAGACGATTTTCCCTGATGATAGTCTCAAGAAAATCGATTAGGAACAACCATTTTAGATACATGTATTCTCATTCATCATTTTGTAATGTCCGCTTCACTTATACTATTAATCGCATTAATAAAGTTGTTGTCTCCTCGTCGCCTTTTCAAATAATTATACTTTGAGAAGAAGTAGCGACGACCCGGCCATTATGGAATCCAATACACCACACCAGCACATTGCGCTCTTGGCCGATCCAAACGCTGCACTCACATCACCATCGCCACAGCGAGGACAATTCCGGTATATAGATTGATATTGACAATGACCCTCCAGACAGCTGTTTTGCTCCTCCTGAGCTCATCAGTGGAGGCATATGATGTTGAATGAGAGAATAATAAGAATAGACTGATCTTTATACGGCTAAATTGGCGCAATTGCGCTCATTCTGCATAGAAACGTGGCATACCCTAAGTGACAAAAGTGATAAAGGTGATAACAAGGTCAGGTTAGCCCTATAAAGATCAGTCTATTCTTATTATTCTTTCATTCAACATCATATGCCTCCACTGATGAGCTCAGGAGGAGCGAAACAGCTGTCTGCAGGGTCATTGTCAAGATCAATCTATAATACCGGAATTGTCCTCGCTGTGGTGATGGTGATGTGAGTGAGTGCAGAGTTTGGATCGGCCAAGAGCGCAATATGGTGGTGTGGTGTATTGGATTCAATAATTCTACTGTTCAAGGAAGAGGGGAGGGGAGAAGGGGATATGATAATTATCAGCAGTATGCGAGCACACAGTGGATAGCGGCGGGTAGGTTGAACGGATAATTAAGGAAACTACTGTATAGTGTCCGGTATCCGGACCCCCCCCCCCCCTCCCCCCCCCCTCCCCCCCCCCCCCGAATCCGGACATGTCCTTCTACCTTACACGTTTCTCACCTTCTCGTGTCGCATCTTTTAAACAAAAAAACGGCCTCAGAAAATTATTGGCAGGGATAAAACGTGTTAACTTGCATGCAAAATGCCTTGATCCTTGAAGGGCGGTGGCGTTCCTACGGATGCGGAAAACTCGGCCTCTAGCCGAGTTTGACGTCTACAGTGAAATTAAAAAAATGCATGCATTTTCTGAGTGCC